CTCTGATGTATACAAAGCCTTTCTGGTCTTGGAAGAAAAGATGCGCAACATGAGTAATATTAGTTCGGAGAAGAAAGAATACCTCGCTAAGCTGGTGCGTAACAGGTTCAACTTCATGTACGGGGATGCACATGGTGTATGCTACCTGTTAGACCCTCGTTACTTGGGCGATGATATGACACGGAGATTGCGCAATGAGATAGAAGATTTCATCTACAACTTTCTAAAGAATGACGGGACAACCAACAAGGAAAGACAGGAGCAACTGGCCCAGGAATATACAGCTTTCCGAATTGAGGCACTGAGAGAACGACAGGAGAACACGTTCCGCTTCAGACTCATTGGCCAATCTAAATCAGTTCTTCAGTGGTGGAAGGCTGATGGCACTGATTGGCCATTATTGCAAGATTTGGCCACATGTGTATTTTCCATGGCAGCATCAAGTGCTGCAAGCGAACGTAGCTTTTCCACCTTTGGTTTCATTCATACCAGACTATGCAACCGTTTGGGCCCAGAAAAAGTTAAGAAACTAGTTTACATCAAGACAAACACTGCACAAATCAGTGGCACCGACTTATTTGACTATGCCAGTGACTGTAGCATCGATTTCAGTATGGATGTTAACATTCTCGAAGATGTAACAGCATAAAGCCATAAAATTTTCTTGATATTTAAAGTTGAATAGCTTATTTAATAGCTTGTTTTAAAACTTAATTAAGAGCTTATTTTTACAGTTCAATACCTTATTTAGTAGCTTATATCATAAGACATTAACTATCACATATCGAAAACTTATAAGTGCAAAAACTTATATCGTGACATGTCTATGTTTTTTATTGTCTTTTATTGTCTTTTATTGTCTTTTAATGAATAAAAGAAAAAAGACAAAAAAAATTTTGAAAAAATTGTCTTTTATCCATCCCTGATAAGAACCTACAATTTAAGATCTTGTCAAGCTAATTTTTTTTATTTAGACACCCGAAATAAGAATTTGTTTAGGCTAGCATTTCAGGTTCTTATTTTATCACATGAAAACAAATCAAATCTAAAAATGTATATAAATCAAAGAAAATAAACTCTTCACAAAGTAATGAAAATGATCCAGAAAACTGAAAATGTCATTGAGATAAATAAAGTGTTAGCAGCTTTACAGTATAGCTTTAAGGCCCGGTCACACTACCACAACGATAACGATACGATAAATTGTAAACACGCGATAATTGGCAAAAAAATTGTGTTAGTGTCCACACAACAACGAAAATGTTAAAATTATCGTTAGACGATAAAGATAACGATTTTAAAATCGCTCACCTGAGCGATTTTTTTTTCAGTCGGACGATAACGATAAATTTTTGACCAATCAGCGCGCGTATATACAAGTTATCGTATCGTTATCGTTGTGTAGTATGACCTGGGCTTTACACATAGCTATTGTGCACAATTTATATACATGTAAATTATACCTCACATACCAAAAATGAGTCGCTTTTCTTTAAAAATTTAACCTAATTTCCAAGCTCTAATGATCATGTAGTCACTACATGTATTGTCCAAGGTGGGATCTGGGGGTTCGAAATCAGAGCTTTCTTTCTCCTAGATGGATTGCCTCCTACACAAAGCAATCTGAAACACAAGCCAGTTCATATTGTACTATGATTGCCTGATCTTGTGTCACAAAGAGTGGCACCATCCCATATATATATTGTCAGAACAAGCTGCCATGCCCATGGCCTGTTTTGTGACATGAAATCAGACAACACAGTAAAACCCTAGACTAGACAGTAAAACCCTAAGAACCTAGATTTTTTCCAAGTTAGCCTAAACAGGTTCTTATGTGAATGGTGCTTACCTGAATTTATGTCACAAACTGTAATTATATTTAGTATATTCAGTACTTTCAGGAGGGAAGCACAAGCACTTGAGTCATATTCATGCCTATCCCCTTGGATATATGTGTTTTAATAATAATTGTTTATAAATTATTTGTATTATCATATAACCCAATAAATCTGTTAAGAAAAAGAAAGACTGATTCGTTGATGTAAATAAAAATTTCATCAGTGTTTCCTGAGCATTCTGATGAGCTCTGATATACAGCGAAACAAGCATACTAGCAATTGTCCTCTGTCTTGAAGAGACATGATGAACTAACGTGATCACTAGATTGACCAGAATTGTTTAATTAAGTTAATATTACTATTAGATCATTCAGTGTCACAAGAATATCATCATTTAGTGTCAATATGAGAGTAATATCAATGAATTCATACTTCCAGTTCATAATTTCAAAACATACATACTACTTATAACACAAAAAAGTTGAATATAATCTTAGCGTCTCGTACTCTCGTCACTGTCAATCTATTGAACTCTTTTGTTGTTTATAACGAAATCATTTCCATAGCGTGCACGAGCTTGAACAAAAGCTGTTTATCCAACTTTTGCACGGTCAAAAATTTCGCCCTTGCCTTGGCTTTCTGCCACGAAGACAGAACTGCAACCACATTCTCAATCACACTTGTTTCGAATTTCGTCAAGCGAAAAGCTTTCCCCAAGGCCAAGCGATTCTGTCATAATGACAACAACAACACTGGCAACATGTTTGGAGGGATTGATACCGCATTAAATATTTTCATGATGAAACACTCCAAAGGTAAACACAAATTATTCGAACTCACACCTTCGGGATTTCGGTTCGCCGCCCCAGCTGTTGATATAGCAAGTCACACAAGGTTCAAAGCGGCCTCTTTATAACTTTATTCACGATGTTTACAGTTAAAAAGTTACATTATAAGATTGTGTTATTGTG